CTGACTGCCTGATGGCCATCAACGTCGGAGAACCAGTCTCCTATTTCGACATGGATCATTCCCTGTCCGGAGTTCTCGAGCCTGCCAAGAAAGCAGGATCTCCCAGCAACCGTGCTTGCTTTTAACCCCATTGTGCTGAGCACTAATATTGTACCCAGGTCCTGGCTTCAGCCTGATCCCGTACAGGAGAGGACTCACGCCTGCACTCCGGAGCAGGTCCGCTCCACGCCAGGTTCACCCCATCGTTGGAGGTGCAGTAGACGGAATCGTCCCCAACGAGAGACAGACCCTCTGCACAGCTGTACTTTACTTCTAAGCCGTAGAGGAACTGCTCGATTCTCAAGCCAGAGTGCTGCCCGTTGGTGATTTTTGGTGGGTGACCACAAACTATGAGAGAATAGAGAAAGGAAAAAAGATTTTCTTTGTTTGGTCAGGGAGACAGAGCAGTGTTGGGAAGTAACAGGAGAAGCCAGCTCCCAGTGTTCATTAACTCAGGTTGCTCTCCTCAAAGTCCTCCTCGCTTCTTGCCACCTTTGGTCATGGCTCTGCCACCGTTCCTGGACTGACCCAGCCAACCACCCAACCCACCCGGTATCATGACATGTGACTCCATCCCCCCCCTTCAGCCAATCTTCCCATATCCCCTCTGTTTCACGAGAAAGAATCCTGCTCATTAACAGGCTCAGGGACCTGCGAGTATTATAAACCCCTTGTACAGTCCTGTGAGAAAAAGGCTGCAAGTCCCATTACTCAACACATTTTCTTAATTACAGTTTTGAAAGAAGATGAAAACTGTAAAGCCATTTAATGCGGTGGCTCAGACCCCTTCTAACACCCCCTTCTCCAAGACGAGGTGCTCAGGTTACGTGATTTTCTCACTGCTGTTCCCAGCACCCACCGTGCTCACACCATTCACACTCACCCTTGTCGCAGTACGGCACGGGGGGTCTCCACGTCCCATCAGACCAGCACTGGATCCTCTGGCTGCCCCTCAGCACGTACCCGGGGTCACACTGAAATTCCACCTGCTGTCCAAAGGTGTATGCAGCTTTCCTGGGGCTGATCTCTCTCCCATGTTGGATAACGGGGCTGGGACACTGCACCTCTGAGGAACACCAGCATCAGAATGAGCTTCCATGGCTTGGCTCAGGAGGGGAGGAGACATTCGCACAGGGTGTTTTCCCATGGCAGGGCTTGCTGACCCAGGGAACCTGACTGTTAACGCTGCCAGATGTCTAACCTGACCCTGCATGCGCAGGGATGGTAATTATGTGATAACCACCATTCCTCTTGGAAGGCAGAATGATCTGAGCCCCGTGATTAGCTATAAGTTGTACCGAAGGGAGGATATGTCAGTAGCTGCATCACCGCGTGGTTGTTTGAACAGCCAAATAACCAGCTATTTCTTTTCAGCCACGCTACCCTTTGAATGGCAAAATTACGATTAGCGAGAGCCAAAGCACGGCTCAATGAAGTCCTTATGGCCCAGCACCCCTAGTGAGTATTTTGAAAACGAGGTTATTTCCACGTCATTAAACTGATGCTTTGTTGGCAAAGCGAAGGAAGCGGTGTACTTACTCTGGCAAAGCTTTGGGATTACGGACCATGTGAAATTTTTAAGGCAAGTCGTTGTTGGAGAGACTTCGGGGAGCAAAGTGTATCCGGTTCTGCAGAAGTAGGTCACGGTTGTCCCAACTGCAAAGTCATGCTGAGGGCTTTGGTCCGCGTGGTCGACGGCAGGAGGGTAGGGACAGTGACCTGGTACCAGAGCAGGGGACAACAGGGACCCTCAGAGCTAGGAGGTCTCCCCACAGACCTGCTGGGGACAAAGCTGAGCCCTGACTTTGGGGAACACAGCCTGCCCCATGGGCAAAGGCAGAAATCCCAGAAAGCAGCAAGGACAGCAGCGACCCTGAGCATCGCTGTGGGGGATGGAGGGTGAACTGAAATGGAAAAAAACAGTGGCAACGAATTCCCCAAATGATGACGTGACATAATGAGTCTTTACTCCCAGATCCCTTTGTACCTCATTGGCTGCACCCTGCAGTATGGTAGAACAGCCAAATCAGGACAGCCCTGCCACATTACCCAGGTTCGATGAAAGAGCAGAGGGGAACCCTGCCACCAAACACCAGACAGTGCAGCTCGCCGCCGTGCCCACCCTCCAGCCCCTCCACGCTGCGCGTGAAACACAAGCAGGCAATTCCACGCGGGAGACAAAGTCAGGAGGCAAGAGATCCGTGGGTACCTAGGGTACAGGCAGGCATCCGTGGATACCATCTGCCGCTGGCCAGGCACCGCACAGTGGTGACGGCACCCACGGGGATGTAGCCGGTGTCGCACTCCAGCGTGGCTGTGCTCCCGTAGGTGAAGTTCTGCGCAGGTTTCAGCTGGCCGTGCGTGATGGCTGGGATGGGACACTGTACCACTGTGGATCACCAAGCAAACAGGCTTTTCAGGGTTATTCCTACTGCATACAGCTACAGCGACCAACAGTCACTGCCCCTCCACTGGGTAAGCAGAAGGCAAATCAGTTTAACGAAGGCAGCAATCGAGGCAGAGACATTAGGGATTAATAAGTGTGCTTGAGCAGCCGTTATCAGTAGGACCCCCAAATGTGCAGCATTTCCATTGTACACAGTCCAACACTATTTTTTCCCTTTCCTAATAGAATCATGGAATGGTTGGGGTGGGAAGGGCCCTTAAAGCACACCCAGCCCCACCCCCTGCCATGGGCAGGGACACCTTCCACTAGACCAGGGTGCTCCAAGCCTCATCCAGCCTGGCCTTGGACACTTGCTCTAGCAGGTTGTGGTACAACTCATCTGCACACTCAGGTTTGGGGTGACTCTGGGGTGCTGGCACCCCACCTCCAGCTTTACAACAACCAAGCAGCTCTCCAGCAACCACATAACCTCTATCAGACACGTATATCACTCATGTCCCAACAAAAAGCTTTTTTGTCCATCTACTGTATCACCCATGAGAAATATTTTGGCGTTGGTCACAAACTATGAGAAGAGAGAAAACTAAACTAAAGGCAGCTGTAACTGGGATTTCCTCATGCCTTACACTAGATGCTGGAACTCTGACCTGCTTCACACCCTGGTACACAGCAGCATCCCAGGCACCAGCACCACTGCACTGTGTCAGGAAAGTGCTGGTGATGCTGCCTTTGGGACCAGTACCCATGGAAAAAGTCTCTGTGTACTCGTACGTGTCTTCCCCAGGCCCCAGCTTAGGTACTGGCACATGGATATTAGGCATTATGTTTGGACTGGGACAATGGGCTTCCTAGAACCACTGTGAATTAAAGAAAAAGGGTGTAAAGGCAGCGCTGGCAGCCGGGGGGCAGCAGATGCCTCTGCAGGGAGGATGGCGATGCTGCTCACCCTGGAGAAGTTTCTCACAAGGCCTGTTTTTAAAGGAACTGTCAACTTCCAGGTAGAAACTGCAAGTTATTCCCCTTCCTAGAGACATTAGTCAGCAAAGTCTCACTTCTCCTGCACTGAAGCCAGCCTGGGAAGGCATGACAACTCCCCAGCTACCTTCAAGATATCTCAGGGCTGCAGTGTCGACCACTCAAACTGCTAACTATAACCCTTTTAATTAAATGGTAACAACTATTACCTGACTAATTGACTCTCCCATCTTACCACCATCTGTGTCTTGAGCCCCAGATTGTAAGGACACCCTCTGGCCCTGGGAACACCTCAGCTACCTCACAGATGATCGAGTCAAAGGGTGATGTACTCCATGCGACACAAGATCCGACTCCAGACCAGTTCTGCAGAGAAGAGACCTGGCCCCAGACTGTCCCGGGGATGAGCTCGTAGCCTCTGGGCCAGCCAGACTTAATCCCGGTCCCAGGGGGGACCCACACCCCAACGTAAGACTTCTGAAAAGCATTGGGAATTTTGGGTGGGTGATGCAGGTCCCTAGAGTTGCAGCTAAAGAGGTGAAACAGGCAATCAGCAGCAGCCACTGAGCTCGGATCATCCTTACAAGAACACCAGGCACAGAAAGAGGTTCACAGTGACTTCAGCCAGAGGAAGGTCTCCCGCTGAATTTACTAACCCGATTGTTATGTGTCTGATCCGTACGCAAAGCTGAGCCACAGAAGCAAGGCAAACGAGCAGGGGAGCGACACTCACCAAGAGCCCCAGCTGACTGCAGCACAAGGACCACCGCTGCCAGGACCTGCCCCGGCCGGCGGCGAAGCACTGGCATGGCGCTGGGAGATGCCAGCGCTGCGCAGGGCGAGAGCGACTCCCCGACGAGAACCCGCTGGGGAAGGGGAAGCAGCAGTGGGAAGTTGGGGACAGGACAGATGAGCCACGCCAACAAGGCCACCCCCAGCCCTTCTGACCTGCCCAAGGCAAGGGCTGCCTTCCCAGGACTCTCCAGCAAGGATGTGCCATGGGAGAGAATGCTGCTCTGCCTTCTTCCCAGTGGGGACAGCGGGGATAAATAACACCCTGCACGCCCCCATACTGTGCTCAGGGCACGGCAGCCCTGCGTGCCTAACCAAGCAATGCTTACTGCAGCACCTTTTTCCTTCACTGTAGGTGGGACAGCATTATGGAAAGCCAGACGCAGCTGTCATTACAATTGCAGCTTTATTATGATCTCGTGGTGAAGGAGTATCGGCCCGATCACAAGACGTGTGCTAGCTGGGCACTTCCCCTTTACTGGACCTTGCAGGAAAAAAAAAAAAAATCAGCTACTTCTTTCTTGAGACTCTTATTTCCAACAGCTTGGTGCACACACGAAGATGCAGTGAGCGGCACTGTCGTGGCCTCAGATACCTCTGTCCTGCCGGGGAAGAAAACCTGGCATTTTTGTTTGGCTTGCAGACAGGCTTTGAAGTTTTCTTCATTGTGCCTGCTCGGAAGGTCACAGCTAATTAGGCAGTTACGTGCTTGTTCACAATAATGAATGCAACACATCTGAAGAGAGTAGCAGTGGGCTATACTGGATTAGCAGCTGAAGGGGTGCAGGAGTTGTGGGGCGAGTGGGGGTTGGTGGCTCTTACCATGTTCGTGCCTGTCTGTACGATAAAAATTTACCTTCTACTCAGTTCCTTTCTAACCACGTGCTTGCAAAAAAAAAGAGAACATATCTAAATGCAAAGCTTTAAACTGTATAAAGTGATGAACAAAACTAACCCAGGCAGCCCTAACAGCATGAGCCAGAAGCTGTCCCTTTCTGACTCTGTTCTGTCACTGATTGGTAAACTTTGTTCTGGCTGCTTAAGTGTAAGCACAGATTATGAAGCCATAAAAAAAAAAATCCTCAGTCAGCATGATTATTCAGCACACAAAAAGGACAGTTCTTATGATACCAGTGAGGACAGTCAGTTGTATGCTGCAATTCTTAGCTCCTTTTCAAGTTTCAGGATCTCCAGGTACAGTTTCCGGACTTCCAGCAGAGTTTTCAGTTCTGTCAGAGGAACTCCACACTGGAAAGCTTCCCTGTTTTGAAGAATCTTCTCACATGTATCATGCTTTTTCTTTAAAAGAACCAAAGCAAAGATACAGAGGGCATGAGACTGCTGCAGCCACCTCTGCTGAGCATCCTGCTCCTCCTGCAGCCCCTCAATCAGACCAGCCCTATTGTAACAAAGCAACCCCATTCACGAGTCGGACCAGGGCTATTCCAGGCAATAAATGGGGCAATATATAGAAAAAGCCTGGACCTGGGTGGTACTTACACATGTGGGCGGTGGTATCCAAGTGCCATTAGCTGAGCAGGTGGTTTCTGAATTTAGCGTTCGACGGCCATCACTTTTGCAGTTGAAAAACAAAGTGTCATTCACCTCGTACCATGTTCTAAAAGAGTGAATCACTAGGTCATCCTGTGCTGAGGGCTGCGGACACTGAACTGCAAGGAAAATGCATGCCAAAAATGAATGTAATGCGAGGAGATGGAGGAAAAAAATCCCTGGAAATTCCACCCGTTGCTGGTGATTCCAAGGAGCAGCACCCTGGCCTGTGCCAGGGGCATCTGCCTGGCTGGTACCCACCTGGCCGGCAGGTGGGCAGGGGGGGATGCCAGGTACCATCGGCCAGGCACCGGCTCTCGGCATCGCCGTGCAGCACGAAGCCTTCGTCACAGGAGAACTGCACGGCCACCCCGTAGGGAAACGTGAACCTCTGTGGAATCATCCTTCCCCTCTCGACTGCGGGCTTGGGGCAGCGAACCACTGCGGGAAGAGAGCAGAGGTGGGAGTGGGGGGTTTGGCTGCTGCCCTTCCCCAGGGACAAGGGGGAACCAGGTCAGGTGGGACACAGCCACTCTTCCTGATGCTCTCTGCATCAGTTTTACACTCAAACACAGGCACTGACCCTCAGCTGCCTGCAGCAATCCCTGAAGAGACCCTACCAGTCCCTGGGGCTCCTGAGCAGCTCGTGGTACTGACACCTTTGCACAGGAGCTGGACAAGCTGCACGGTCATTAATCCACTCCGTGTTTGGAGCTCCTGGACCAGGGCAAATAATAGAGCAGGGGCTTAGCCCCAGCATCATACCCAGGTCCTTGCTTCAGCCTGATCCCGTAGAGGAGAACAGACTCACCCCTGCACTCCGGGGCAGATCCGCTCCACACCAGGTTCACCCCGTCGTCGGAGGTGCAGTAAATGGAATCGTCCCCAATGAGGGACAGACCCTCCGTGCAGCTGTACGTCACCCTTGTGCCATATGGGAACTGGTCCTGTCCCAAGCCAGAGTGCTGCCCATTGGTGATTTGTGGAGGGGGGCCACAGACTGTGGAATAAATGGGATTGATAAGAAAAGACACGATTATCATTCAGGTGAGAATCAAAATCATTTCTGGGAAATCAGTGCAAGAGTTAACTGCTTATTTAGAGTGTGACAGTCACGTGAAGTTGCTGCCTGGCTTCCTGCTACTTAGCTCAAGGCTCTCACTTCTCACTCAGCTCCCATCTGGGTCACATCCCTAGGGACAAGACACCTCCACTCTTTCAGCCCATGAGGCCCTGCTCACCACCGTGTTCCCCAGGAGCAGATGCTGAAGGCAGGTCGCCCAGCGACTGCTGTTTCTGAATCCCGATGCGCCAGGTCTCTTTTCAGCACTGCGTTACACGTACCTTTGTCACAAACCGGTAACGGGGGAGCCCAGGTCATATCCGCCTGACACTCGGTCGAGTCCTGGCCCCTGAGGACATAGCCCGAATCACACGCCAGCCTCAGTCTGGTCCCAGCTGTGTAGCCATTTTTGCTTTGATAAACCACTCTTCCATGAGAAGTATCTGGCGTTGGGCAACGAAGTTCTAGAAACATTGGAAAATAAAGGATGTCATTTATTTTCAGAAAGAACCCTAGTGAAGAGAGTCTTCTGTGTCACCCATGGAGAAGACAGTTACCAAGAATATCTGAACCCTGGGGAAAAAAGGTGACTGTCATCTAGATGCAGGTCTCAGGGCTGCCTTTGTAACACTACAGGAGCTTCTGCTTTACAACCAGCTTTTTCTGAGGCTGTTGGGAAAGGCGCATGCTGCAGAGCTGGGCTCAGGGCCAACCGAGCCTCCCTCGGGGCTCCCGGTACCATGTACCGTTATCACCCCCGGGACTGCAGCCCTGCTCTCCCACGGAGCTGGACTCCTGAGGTTGCTGAGCACCTCACAGGCAGCGTTAGGGCCAGGACAAGGAATCATCCACACCCTAATGCTGGCTGCCCTGCGAGATGGAGCAGGCTCTTTCCTCCTGGGAAGGTTTTCCTGAAATTTTGGGCTCAGGTCTCTTCCAGCAGCTCGCCGATATTGCCACAGTGCCCCATTGCTGGGTTATTGATTTCAGCAGTGTCAGTTATTTATGCTGTCACATTTTCTTTCGAGAGGGGAAATGCACTGAGAACATCCTCTGCTCCCAAGCCTCATGTCAGCAAACCAGCCCAGCTGCTGTCCAAAGCACAAACCACATCCCCTTCCAGCTGGGTGAGTCTCTCCCAGGCTTCTTAGGAGCCTCTAAAAGCTGCCAAGACCCCGTTTCCCGCTCAGCTCCCTGCCAAACCTCCGTACTTTTTCCACGGCAATCCCCAGGCAATATAACGATCCGTCTGGATCCTCTACTGCCTAGTTCTTCCAACTAGATCTGGAGAACCAGATCTGGAAATACGTGTACCCTGTCACAGACATCATTTAAGGCAACACGTAGGTTTTCCTGTGAACGTCAGCAGACAGCGACGCTGTACAGAGCAACCCAAACCTTTGCAGTCAAAAATACGTAGTTGTCAAAGCAACATCCTTCACCAGCTCTCACCTACCTGCAGTGCACTCCGGTACTGCTGGGTTCCACCTACCGTCACTCGTACACCAAAGCACAACGTTACCGCTATGACCTTTGAAGGAATAACCTTCATTACACGTGATTTCCAGTCTGTCTCCATACATGTAATTGTGTTTATACTCCCATACATGTAAGGGCTTTCCATTCCTGATGTCTGGATTTGGGCAGCTGATTCCTGAGGAAGACCAAACGTTAGCAAGGGTGAAAACCACAGCAAAGCCACCTGGGTGACAGCAGGTTCATCGCAAACAGGATGAGTGCTTTGTAAGGCAAAAGGCACATCACAAGGCTAAATCTGCCCCAACACGGTCCCTGGTGCTCCTGGAGGATGGGGTGTTTGCAAGAGGCTCCGCAACTGCAACCTCCTGGGGACCTCGATACCAGGATGACTTTTCCCACAGGTTCAAGGGACCAAAAGCATAGCTGGTAAATAGAGGAGAGAAAACCCTGTGGCTGGGACACAAATCAAAGGAGGTGAAGAGTCACAGCAAAGACTAGGGACACGCCAAGCTGGGCACCCTGAGCACCCCCCTCTCTCCTCGACCCTGACACCCGCACAACAGCAGACCACCTACTGTTCCTCCATTCATTAATAATTTTGCCAGACAGCAAGGGTGAGCGAGCCAAAAGAGTGTACGCTTACTTTGGCAAGGCTGTGGAGTTTTGGTCCACGTAAAATCCGGCAGACACTTGATGTGCCGCGTGGTTTCTCCGGGGCTGAACTGGTAGCCCTCCCTGCACTCGTAAGTAACGACAGTCTCCACAGGAAACAAATTGCCAGCAAGCCTGGCTTTCACAGCGTTTTCCACATCTGGAGGGTCGTCACAGCTACCTGGAGGGAAATAGCGATTTCACCAGCTTGAATGAGACATGGCCCCACATCATCAATTCCTAAAGTCACCTTAGTGAGTGAGATCAGCCAAAAAAAAATCCAAAAAGTTAAAACCTGGAGCCATCCCTCAGGACCTAATGCTTTCTTAGTTGGGTGGGAACTGCACGGAAGCAAAGCTGCTGGGCCGGGTGGAGCCGTGCTCGGGTCACCCCACTTACTCAGCTGGCAGAGCGGCAGCGGAGGGTCCCAGAGGCCGTTTTCTTTGCACATGGAGGCATCGCTGCCTTTCATGGTGTAGCGGAAGTTACAGTCAAACATGACGGTGTCTCTGTAGGTGTACTTGGTCCGGAACCCGCTCAGCAGCTTCCCGTTGTCCACGACAGGATGCTCACAGTTAACCGCTGCGTCAGGGAAACGCCAGCACTTAGGAAATCAGCAGTTATGCTCAAGAGGGGAGATGGGGGTGTTAAAAACATTCTCATGGCATAAGATGCGTTCACCAAAAAGGCTGAAAATGGACATGAAAGGGTAGAAGGCTGACATGGTATTTTTGAACTCCTTACTCTATGTTACAGGTTTTCTTTTTTCCTCTACAACTTTTATTAAGGCAAAGTGTAGAAAGAACACAGGAAAGGCAGCAGATATCACAGCAGCTTTCCAAATTCTTTGCAGGCATTTTGCTTTACACATGATGGCAGACAAGATGCATCGTCAGGGCGACGAACGCTAATAAAATCCCACTCCCACGTCCCCTGCTGACTTGGTGACCGTGAGCACTCATGGACCCTGCGAGGGGAGACTCTACATCCTGTTGTTGCTACCAACCTCAGAGGGTGTCATCTGCAAGAAGCGATTCCAGCAACACCAAGGAGAGAGACAGCTCCCAGGAAAACGGCTTTAGCAGACGGCAATAGAGCCGGGGCTACGGCTGGTGCTGCTGCAGTGCCCCGGCGAGCTCGCAAGCACACCCCTCACCCCTGCATGGGAGCAGCTCACCTTTGCACTCCGGGGCTGGCTTGTTCCAGACACCGTTTACGTTATCTGTAGTTGTACAGAAAATAGAGGCATCTCCCACCAGCGAGAAAGGTGTCTCTCCTCTTTGGACGGTGTGGCACCTGTAAGTGACGGACGCTCCGTATTCAAAGAGCTCTTTGTCGGTCTCGCTGTGATCTCCGTTGGCTATTTTTGGAGGGGGTGGACATGGTATGGCTGGGGAGAAGGGAAATGGTAGAGGGAGGGAAGAACAAGAGAGACAAAACTTAATTCGTTTTGAACCAAAAGTCCAATAAGCAAACTTAAAACAGGAGGTGCCAGAAGGGTTAAATCAAGAGCAGGTCTCAAGGAGTCGCATGCCAGCAGAGCTCCGACCCCGGCACCGAGTGGTGTTGGGATACACCAGTCTGACATGCAGCTGCTTTACTCCCAGACAGTGAATAAATCTTTCTGCAGGACATTGCAGGAAGAAAAAACACAAAGGAAGAAGTGTCTTTCCAGACTCCACCACACATCAAACTGCCTAAACCCTCAGTGACTGCTTCTTTAGCCATCCTCAGTAACCTTTAAGCAGCAGATCAATTAAGGAACTGTACTTACATTCACAGATGGGGATATCTCTGTCCCACGTAACAACTCCATTCTTAATCACACACTGGATTTGGGAATTTCCAACCAGCCTGTACCTGTGTGAAACAGGTGAGAGGGAATCACTCAACAAACTCAGCTTTGATGAATTACTATAACATCACCATCAGGATGGTTTTGGCTTCCTTCTCATAATTACAGCTGATCAGAAATTTGCCATCGATGTAATTTTTTTTATGACACGCTGGCTTTTGACAAAAGCATTTTTTAAATAAAAAACTTACATGGTTTTTAAGGAAAAAGGTCTACTTTATCAGCCAGCTGTAGCTACCACCACAGCTCTGAGTTCAATATCGATGGCTTTTCTTCAAAAAGATACTGAAACAGTGGAAAAGGTTTAAGAAAGAGCCAGGAGAGCGAACTTGAGGTTGGGAAGAACGGCCTCAAAGTACAAGATTAAGAAAACTCAGTCAGTCTTAAATCTTGTGAAGGAAAGCTTAAAAGATATTTCAATTGCCATCTGCAATTACGTACACTGGTAAGGCTTGTGAGAGCACAGGCTATAATCTATAGGGAAAAGACTCCGGAAAAATTGCTGGAGAAGAAGAGGACCCATGCCTTGAGTCCTCTCGGCTTACCCCATGTTGCAGGTGAAGTTCACTGCTGACCCAAAACTGAACGTCCCTGCAAGGACCAGTCGGCCGTTGTCCGGCTCTCCAGGGTAGGTGCACAGCTTTGCTGGGGGACAACAGGACTGGAGTTAGTTCTTATTGCAGTTTCTTGAAGAATTGGGAAAACGCAGCAGGAAAACGGAAGCCTCCTCCACTACTGAGCAAGGAGATGGACCGGAGACCTCTGGGTTTTCCCTCCAACCCTAAATTATTCCACGATTCATGATGCTGGGAAGACTTGCATCACGACCTGCAGCCAGCCTCTGCAGTCTGTGTGGGGTTTTGCAGCATCCCTGGCAAGCACAACGGCATTTCTTCGCAGCTAAAGGATCCTCTGACTGCAGGTTTGAAATACTTCTTTTGAATCAGGAGTTACAAAGTGCCTCAGCAGAACACCCTTTGAATCAACAGCCAAGCACAGCATCAAAGCAGATTTCAGCTTTTGCCATCACTGTCAGTCCTTAGCGGAATATAAGCTGTGCGTCACGTCAGGTCACTCCTCTCCCACCATCCCGTGAGGTCATTTTGGATACTGCTCCAACAAAATGAGCTGATAGCATCAGTGAATTAAAACAAAACCCAAAGTCAACCCAAAATATACTCACGTATACAGAACTCCTTTGTTCCATGCCACCTATTGTTCCTTCCACAAACAAGGGTGTTTCGGGCATTAATAGTTCTCACATAACCTGGACGACAGACGTATTCCACCACTGAATTATGGGAAAATGAGGTAATGCCATGGTATTGCTCTTTGAGTTCTGCAGATGGGATACGTGGCGGAACATCGCAGACACCTACCGACAGAAACTCCATCAGAAGGATGCTGGGAGGAAAAGCAGTGGGAGTTAAGGCCTGATCTACTCTGAAGGTCCAGTCGAGGACACTTTGGTGGCCTTAAAACCCGCAAAGGTAGACACGGAGGGGAGAAGCGCAGTCTGCAACTGGGGCTGGCTGAGGCTGTCAGGGACAGGGGAGCACCATCACCCCACGAGGCCCTGTTCCCTCCTCACACCTCATCCAGCAGTTTCAAAGGCTGGTCACAAAGTCCAGATTAATTGTTTCCTCTCCCCAGTTAGTATAAATCATTGCACCTTTTTCAGCCATTTGTGGCCATTTTACACAGAAAGGAGAAAAGGTAAAGGAAGACAGATTCTGAGCACAAAGATGTACAATGTTCCCAAAAAATGCAAAGGCAAAAAGGAAAAGAGGAAAGGCAAAAGGAAAAAGGCAAAAAGGAAAATCTTGTGACCCCCAGGAGAAGGTTTTCCTTTGAGGGATCTTAGTTTATCCTGATGGACTCGCTCCCTCCTCACGTTCACTTACTCTGGACAGCCACAACAAGAGCAGCAGCGAGGAATAATCCAAGGACAGTGGTGCGATCCCTCTGCCTCCCCAACTCCAAAGTTGGCATCTTCCTTTATTCCAGCCTCCCTGTCCAGAGATCCCACGGAAGTTACCACATTCTCTTTCTCGGCCAAATATCTGTAAAAATGGCAGGGGATAACCTGGGATTATATGGATATCCTGAGGGACACTCAGGATAACCATAGCTCATATGGACAGCTGACATTTCTCCATCCCACAGCAGTTCCTACAGTCGTGGCTGGGCACCAGAGGCTGCGGGAGCTATTGCAATACTCTCTGCAAGGGTGCGGAGCCGCTGTTCCGCTGGCTCCTCTGCGGCCGACGGGACCGAGACCCAGCGTGGAAGAGCTGGGCTGCTGGGACAGAGCTGGACTGGGGTGAGGAAGGCTGGCTCCAGCAGTCCAGACCCAGGGACATGATAATACAATCTAAACAGGACAACTGATTGTAGATGTTGTTCCACTAGTCTCATTTATTTGCATTTTTGAGAATACATCTTTTGATTAAAATAAAAAAGAAAATAAATAAGAGGAAAAAAAAAAAGACTAACAGCTTCACCCAAACTGTAACATAAATACTTTATAGCTTGTCAGGTTCAACTTAAAAACACTATGTTGGCAACCTAGTGTTCTTCCCAGCCAAACGAATACCTGCAATGCCATGGGTTTATCTAAGTCTTCTGGAAAAAAGTCTCCTGAAACTTATCTTCAGGGTAAAATGATTTGTTTTAGTAACAAATCTCTTGGAAGCAAATCCATAGTCAGATGAAATCCTGCTGGAGTCACTACAATCCCCTTACAATAAATTATGTGCAGAGAGAGAAAGCGAATCTAACCAAAAGGATTCATCAGTTCTGTGCAAATAACATTAAGTGGAGTAAAGCTGCAAAGCATACAAGTCATTCAGGAGACAAAATGGAATTTAAGAGCAATTTGGACTAATCTGGCACGTCTAGAGATCAGTAGAAGTTCTCTCTTTGTTATCCGGGATCAGCATTTATGAGGCTAAAGCCTCCCAACATTGTGTACACTCCAAGTGACTCCTTTCTCCTGGAAATGAGTCTTTCTTGATGCTTCCTGTCCTAAACCTAACACCTTGGGGCTGTTTCATTCCTCTGACTTTCCCCCAGTCCTTGTTACAGCTCCTGCTTTAATTTGATTTAACTTACTAATCATTGTGTCTGCTAGAGCTGCAAGTCAGCTCCAATCCCGTTCCCAAGAGCAACATCTCCTAAAGCTCTGTGGCTCGGAGGTGTGTTACCTGGAGGTCTGGCAGCAGGAGATAGAGAGACCCGGCGTGTTCGGCTCCCACAGCAATGACTCTCCTCGTCCACTCCCCCCGGCTCCCGGCACCACAGCGCTAAAGGAGTCCAGATCCGCCTACGCGCTGACACGGCTCCATGCAGAAAAGTTTGCATTCTGCAGACACCAGACTTGTGCCAGTTGACCCATAAACCCCAGTTTATTCAACCCACAAAGTGTAACACTAGAAAACTGAATGCAACCCAAGCAGATGTCGAAATTGTTTGTTTTCTGTGTGGAGCTGCCAACTCTTTGTTGAAATGATCCTTTCCAGCGGGATGCTGCCCGTTTCACCCTGCACCAACGGCACCCAGCCAGTGCCAGTCCCCAGGAGGTGCCCAGGGACTTGGGCACACTATGGGGGGGCCTCCTCAAGAGGACTAATTCACCCTGGGGCATGTCAGCCATGATGTTATCTCTCCTGATCTCAAAAACCTATGGCCTGCATTCCAAATTTGTTTCTTCAACCAGCTGCACCTAATCCCGTTACAGCAACACCAACGGGAGCTCAGCAGCACACAAGGTCCCAGGGACCATTGCTCAGAGCTGAACACCCAGGTCCCTGATGGAAAACCCAGCTGCCCTCCTGCTGTGGTTTAGCCCCAGTCAGCAACTAAGCACCACACAGCCACTCACTCACCTGACCCCTCCAGCAGTGGGATGGGGGGAAAAATCGAACAAAAAAGATAGAACCTATGGGTTGGGATAAGAACAGATTAATAATTGAAAATAAATGAAGATACTCCTCCTATGTGATGAAAATACTACTAATAATAATGATAATATGTAAGGAAAAAGGAAAAAAAAGAATATACAACTGCTCACCACCAGGCGACCCATGCCCAGCCAGTCTCCAAGCAGCAATTTTACCCCCCTGCTCCTTATGTACCTTATATACCATGACATTTGGTGGCACGAAATGTCCCTTTGGTCAGTCTGGTGAGCTGTTTGGGCTGTGTCCCCTCCCAGCTTCCGGTAGCCCTGGGGTGCAAGATTCACCATTGCCAACCCAACTCTCAAAAGCCAGGGATGCCTGCCCTCCCCAGCAGAGCCTCTTCCCTCCAAATACTTTCCAGAGACTCCCCGAATTCACCATTATCTCTAAACCAGCACACTGAGTTTCTGCAAACAATAATGGAAAATAACAGAGGAAACCAGAGCTACGTTTTCTTTAAAATCTCTTTATTGTAAATAAATGCTGGTGGGATACTTATGCTCAAGTGCGCAGAGTACACAACACACAGCACAAGTTTACATACATCGCCTTTTTTTTTTTAAGCCCAAAAACGCCATTAGAAAGCAGCGTAGCAAAACTGCAAGCAGACCTGTAACACCCATCTCAAAACACTAAACACAGATGCAGTTTGTAAACACCGTTCAGAGACAGAGGAGCAGGTGGCACCGGCAGCGCTCACCCAGCATCCTTCAGAGGGGTATGGGGGGCGCGAGGGTTGGGGATGTACCCCCAGGGCAAGGGCTTCCTGGAGGTGATGCCCCCCCTTAGCCCTGCAGCGACTGGGCTGGGCTTCCCCGTCCCACAGACACCTTACAGAGGTGGCAGCTTTCTCCTCCCTTCCCAGTTCTCCCCATCGCTGGCAGCAGAGATGGAACAGGTTTTGCCCGAGTGATCATCTTCCCCTCAAACAACCCACCACACCGACGGGGTGGCCAGCTCAGGGACAGCAATGCAGGCCCCGCGGGTGGCTCTGCTCACTGAAGGTGACAGCAGCCACCACCACCGCTGCTGCTAGAAACAGATGGACAGAAAGTCAGGGAAATAGAGAAAAAACCCCACTCGTGGTGCAATGCTCACGAAGGCACCAAGCCTTCCACACCTCCAAATTCACCATCTCTATCCGCCCAGCCCAAGATGCCAGCTCCAGCACCACTGATGGCACAAGCCGCTGCCGATTCTCGCTTCAGGTACATTGTGCAATCGTTGTTTATTCTGGGGTATTTGCACACATCGTGCCAAGGAAATCAGGTGATTTCAAGGAAATACCTGGCACGGGGACCTGCCAGCCTGTTTGGGGCTGGGGAGATGCGTAGGCTCACTGGCAGCACCCCGGGGACTTGTCACGACAGGCACGATTCACCCCCACGACAACAATGACAATCCCAAATCTGCTGCTGTTCTGCTCTAGACATGTATTTACACCTTTTGAAAGTTAAAATGCAGGAGGAGAAGGCTATAGCTCTGCTTTAATTAAAGCACTGTGGCACAAATGCTGCCAGCTGCAGAGGTGGCTGAGAGGCTCCATCCCACGGCCAAAGCAAGGCCCCCCCTCCACAGGAACACGGGGCTCCCAGCCAGTGATCCAAAACTGCAGACCTGATCTGTAGCAGTGATTAAAAAGTTACAGCCACCAACATATTAGCAGCTACATTCATGAATCCTGGCAGGTAAAAATATATATTTTGCCTCCTTACAACATTAACGACCCAATGCTATAAATATAATTAACTCCTTAGCAAATAATTACAGCATAGTGTGCGTAAACATCCTACAGTACGTTTCTACTCCTCCCTGCCCGCAGAGCGGGAGGTTTCTCGGCAGGAGCAGCTGGACCGATGCGGTGCAGGTTTGTGCGTTTAGAGCATTACTGGAGAGTGACAGAGAGTATTACCACACAACAGCCCATAAATCTCTTCCTTCAGCATCTTTTTCCCCTCTTTTTTTTTTTTTCCCCTGGCTTTTTTCTAAGCCCTGTAACATTTAAAACCAAAGAACAGTGCTGCTCATGCAGAAGGCTGCAGCAAAGCTGTGCCCCAGTGGGAACAGCCCCAGGAACAAAACTAATAAAACTCAGTTTCTCATTCATTGAATTTCCTCCCTCCGTGGTGCAATTGCTTTAGATCAACACATACTTCTGCTCCACATAAATCCTAAAGGTTTAGGAGTGGAGTTTGGGCCTTTGCCATGGACCTCTCCATCTTAGCTTTACCAAATTAAAGCTCTGGGAGTGTTTAAAACAACTGGGTTTGAGCTCAAAATCCCCAGATAAACCTCAGGCTTTGGGGCTGCTGAGCTCCTCTGCATCCAGGGCCAGGGCATCAACGTTTCTCAAGCACACATCCCTACCGTGCATATGGTCAACATTGATTTACTCATTTAACATAAGCAATTTGGCTCCCAGAAGTTGCCTGTATAAACGCT